GCGGGTAGAGAAACTTGCGGTCGAAACCGAGGGGGGCCTCGAGCAAACCGGCGTGGAGGGCGACGCCCTTGTTCCACGCGTGCGCCGAGTTACCCTCGAGCGAGAACTCGCTCGACTTGTTGCCCACGTTCGCGTCCCAGGACTCGCTGGTCGCGCACGTGCGCACGTTCATGATGCACATCTCCTTGTTGGCCGCCTCCGCGCACGCGTCGTCGCCGAGCGACGCGGAGGCGTTCGGCCCGTGCCACCCGATGCCGGCGAGTCTCACCAGCTTGTCCGCCAAGTCGCCGCCGCCGCGGCAGCCATCAAAGGCGGAGCACGTCTTGTGCGGCCCGCTGAAGCTGCCGCGGTTGTTGAAGATCTTGCGCTGGACGTCGGCAGTGACGCCCAGCGTGATGTGGCCGGCGCCGCACGCTGATTGGGAGGTGACCCCGGCTGCGATCTCACAGCCGGGCGGCGCCGAGCGCGCCGCCTCCGTCGAGTGCCCGTCGAAGCTGGTGTGCATGATCGAGTCCGAGCCGCGGGCGACGCCCGCGACGAGAGTGGGGCCGCCCGCCTTGACGGCCGCGAGCCCCGCAAGAACGCCGAGCAGAAGGAGGCGCATCGAGGTTGCCGAGGTCTTCATCACGTTTTGGTCTTCATCAGACTTTACGTCGCCGCAATCGCCACCCGCCGCCATTTTGACGAGCAGCGCGAGCGCGCTCGTTGGCGGCCAGCCGTCGCGGGCCAGGCCCCGGCCTCAACCGGCCGCGCCGCCGCAGCAGGCCGGGAGGCCCGAATGGCGGCCGACCAGCTGATTATTTCCTCTCTTGCCTTCGATGTTACAAAAAAAAAAGTGTTAGAGTTGTTTGGTATTGCTAAAAATCTCCCCCCCTCGATGTTATGAAACAAACGCAAGGCGGACATGGCACATCGCTCTCGGGCCCACGGATATCCCGCACACCCGCCGCCCCCGCGCGCGCCCCACCCCGGCCGGGAGAAAGGGGAGTGACAGTTTGGGACGGCAACAGAACGAGTATCTTGCACTCCATGTGCGAGAACGCAGGGTAAATGAAAGCCGTCCGGCCCCCAAGTCCGGCTCACGCGCCCCGACTGGCCGATCTACCGCACTGGCCACTTCCGCCCCCTCCCTCGCTCGGAACCCATCTACCTCGCCTCGGGCCGCGCCGCGCGATCTCGGGCGATCTCGCGCTATCTCGGGCGATCTCGGGGCCGCGCCGCGCTATCTCGGGCCATCTCGGAGCGTCGCTCGCGCGGCGGCACACCTGCTAAAAAAAAGGACCCGGTTGGAGCTACGGCGCGCGCACTTGGAGCACTTGGAGTGCAGTTGGCAGCCTCACATCCAGGGCCGGGGAGCTCAGAAGTTGGTGCTGTTTTTTTCGTCCTTGCTGACGGCATGTCTGAAATCACGTCGTTGTGTGAGCCTACCTCCTCGGAAGCGGATGGCGTGCTCGGCGGCCGGTGTGTCGACACCGGCGGCATCAATGCCGGCATGCTCCGCTGCCCTCGCTGCTTCTCGCGTCTGCTCAGCCAGTGCGGCCGTCTCGTCGAGCGCGCCGGCGACGAGGCGCTCCTCCACGTACCTCGAAGCAGCAACGCCTCCGCCGAGGCGGCGGACGGCGCCGCCGACAGTGGCACTGTCACCACCGCTGCCGCCGGCACCGCCGCCGACCCTGCCGCCGACACTGCCCCCGACGGCGCGTGCGGGTGGGACGCGGTGCCGCACGAGTGGTGGTGGGTGGTGGAGGACGTGAACGACGTCGACAACGTCGCGCTGTCATACCTCGTCACGCCTCCCGCCGCCGGCGCGATCCGCCTCGCGCTCTGCTCTGAGTGCCGCTGCGGGCCGCTCGGGTACCAGCGCGACGGCGAGGCCAAGGTATGGTTCGCGGCGCCGCTGCTGCGGCAGCAGGACGCGATGTACGCCGACGACGCCGCGGACTTCCCGCTGCCCGCCGGGCTGGACGTGGCGCAGCTGCAGGCGATGCTGGACTCCGGGCAGGCGAGGGATGGCCTGCGGTCTCTGCGCCCCTGCCTCCGCCTCTGCCTCCGCCTCTGCCTCCGCCCCTGCCTCCGCCTCTGCCTCCGCCTCTGCCTCCGCCTCTGCCTCCGCCTCTGCCTCCGCCTCTGCCTCCGCCTCTGCCTCTCCTCCGCCCTCGCCACCCTTCGCCTCGCCACCCTCGCCACCGCCACCGACACCCTTCGCCCCGCCACCCTTGCCGCCGGGCCGGCGCAAGCGACCGTCGCCGTTTCCTCCATACTGCCGGCTTCCATGCCGTTTTCTGCAGGCGACGGTCGCCTTCAAGACCACCTTCGAGGAGGCGCGGCTCGGGATGATGCTGCAGGCTGAGCACAAAATATGGCCCGAGACTGCCCGCGACTGCCCGCGACTGCGCGAGACTGCGGAGGTTGACGGAGGAGGAAAAGCGAGGTAGCCGGGGCCGCCGCAACAAGCCTCAGCAAGCCTCAACGCCCGCCCGCCAGGACGCGGCCGACGGCGACGGCGTTGAGGTCACGGCCTTCACCGAGTTCGAGGGCCGGCCGGGGCCGGTCGAGCTGTCGGGCAAGGTCAAGCTCGGCGACAAGGTTGCGCGCGTCAACGGCCAGTCGACGCGCGGGCTCGACTTTGCGGTGCGCCCGCCACGCGTTCGTGCGGGGGCGCACAGCGCCAGGCGTGTCGGCGGGCGGCGGCGCACCTTTGACGCGGGCCTCGCCCCCTCCCCTGAACTCCCCGGAACAGGCGGTGCTCGAGATGATCATCGACGCGCCGCGGCCGCTCACGTTGCATTGGGAGCGCACCGGCAGCCGGCCACAGGACGCTTCGAGAGTGGCCCACAGCGACTTCAAGCCCATCGCTGGTGGTCCGTAGAGTACAGTGCGCGACCACCGCGCAGGACGGGACACTGTGGAGAGACCATGGGCGTGAGGTAAAACCACGCTCCAGCGCACTTCTACTTGCCTCTTGCGGCCACACAATATGCAATATGTCGGCGTATACGCGGCATCTCGGATCTCGGCCCAGTCCCGACACCCGAGTCGGAGTCCCCCTCCCCGACGGCGACGCGCGACGGCGGCCGAGGTCACACAACTCACAAGACACATCTACACAGAAATAAATAAAAATAAAATTCAAGGTAAGGTAAGGTAAACGTCTCCACACACACAAAGTGGTGGGGCAAGAGGGGTCTGCGGGAGGCGTGAGCGGCAGCGTGTGCACCGGCGCCAGCCGCCCACCGCTCCTCGCACCACGTCATGCCTCCGGTTGGAGCTGGCATCGGGCGCCGGCGCGGTAGGGGCGCCGTTGGGCTGCTGGACGCGGCGAGGCCGCTTGTTCATACTGGGCTGGGTCTTTAGGCATTGTGGGGTTGGCACTCCCATCGACCCTCATGACCTCCTGCGGTCTCTGAGACGGACACCAGTGGGTGTGGGACCACAGGCAGGATACACTCGAAGACTGGGTAAGCAGTAGAGGTCGATACTCGACGCGTCCCACATGGTCTGTGTCGCTGTCGGCACGCTGTCGACAGGACGTCAAGCGACACCGGTGGCAGTGCCACCCAGGAGTGGTCGGGCGGTCTCCCGTCATGAGAGAGCCACTATGTGATCCGTATGATGGTTCCTGACAACCGCCTCAGTCAACTTTCGTCACAGTTCCCGCTCTGAGAGGAGCTGCGGGTCAGTTCGACAGCTGGAGCTGTGTCGCCGGCGTGCGGCGGCCTGCCTCCGGAGGTGCCTCTGAGGTGGACATTTTTTGGTCACCGTGAGAGAACGCGTTCGAATTTTCACTCCGGAACTTCAACTCCACACGCGCACCGGCCAGGGCTACAATAGTGCCAGTGAGGCGGAGGCGCGAGTCGGAAGGCCGCGACCGTCAAGTGTTCCCCCAATTTTCCTACAATCGCTGTGGACCCAGCCACGTACGCTCGGTGAATGCGGGCGTGGCCACCGGCGGCGGAGCCGGAGCAGGGGCAGGAGCGCAGCAGCGGGAAGCGGGGCGCGCGTCAGCCTCAGCTGTCGGCGGCGCTCGCTCGAGCGCTGCTGGCGAGGGCGCGCCGAGAGCGGACGTCGGCGAGGCGCGAGGGAGGGGAGGATGTCGGCGAGGGGGTGGACAGACCACCATCTCGGTTTTTTTCTCTACGTTAGTCGAGTACGTTCCCGAAACCCTTCCTCAACAATGATACGCCTCTTGCCACTCTCGAATCCGCCCACGCAGCGCGTGGTTTGGGGTGAGGATGCTATGGAACACATGCGAAGATGGTATAGATGCGTTGACAAAGAAACGTTCAAGCCCATTTATTGCATTTTGGGTGGACGTGGGTGGGGAGTGGGGTGGCGTGTCTGAGCTTGTCGACAGTCCCGACGGGCCAACGAGAAGGGCAGGAGAAGGAAGCCTTAGGCGATGGGATGGCCCTGATGCCGCCCTCCCTCCCGCGGCGGTACTGGTGGCTCAGAAGAGGTCGTTCGCTGCGGCGTAGTCGCCCGGCCACACCTTGAACGCGGTGGCCTTGCCGCCCACCACCGTCCACTTTTGGACGTCGCTCACGCGCTTGCCGGTCGTCTTGCCGCTCTTGAGAGTCGGGATGTAAGAGATCTCGACGAGCACCTGGCGGCCGAGCGGGTGGCACGGCGGGATGGGGGGGGGTGGGGGGTCCCCGTTCCCTCCTTTGGCCCTTTCCCGTTGGCCTCCTCCCCTTTCCCCCCGGTTTGTGGCTTTCGCGTTCGATGCCTGGGGCGCCTTCTCCCCTTGGGCTTCTGGGTCCGTGGGCCTTCTTCTTTGGGCGGTGTCC